CTCCTCAATTAAAGAGCAACATGTTCCACATCAATAAATCATAAAGTCTGTCCTGTGTAAATGTGTCTCTGAGTCCTGACTGTCTACAATGAGGGAGAAGCTCGAGTCCCGCTGGCTGTGTTGTTGTCAGAGCCGTGTTTACGTGGACGGGACGGCCGGCTCCTCCCCTTGTGTATAAAAGCTGTTTTAGTCAAGAACTAGAGAGAAGAAGAAGAACATACTCACTGATTATTTGGATGTTAGTAAGAGTTTTTAGATCACGCTCATTCTGTGTCAGTTTACATGAAATGTGAAGCTACGAGCTAACTAAAAAGCGCTAACATTAGCATGCTAACACGACAATGTGAAGCTACGAGCTAACTAAAGAGCGCTAACATTAGCATGCTAACACAACAATGTGAAGCTACGAGCTGACTAAAGAGCGCTAACATTAGCATGCTAACACAACAATGTGAAGCTACGAGCTGACTAAAGAGCGCTAACATTAGCATGCTAATACAACAATGTGAAGCTACGAGCTCACTGAAGAGCGCTAACATTAGCATGCTAACACAACAATGTGAAGCTACGAGCTAACTAAAGAGCGCTAACATTAGCATGCTAACACAACAATCCAGGACACAAAGTGTAGGGGGGTTTGAGGTGTGTCTCTGGAGGAGGGCGGAGGCTTCAGTATGGCGGAGGTGTGGCCTAACATTAGTTTGTTTTGGTTTCATGCTGGTGCTTGAATGCACCTTCTTCCTTTAATCAGAACCTGGATGAAAATGAGAGCAGCATATTTGTACTTCAGGTGCTTTAAGATGAACCCACCACTCCTTTGAGCTCTTCAGGGTGGATCTTTGGACTCCGGGGGTCGATGAGCTTCTTCTTCTCTGATTGTTTCAGAGGCAGCAGGTGACGCTTCCTCTAAACCGATGACAGATAAAGATTATTCAAACGTTCACACAGCAGGTGATGATGATGATGATGATGATGAGGAAGATGTTTACCGCTCTCCTCCTGCGGGCGTCGATCTGTCTGAAGTAGTCGGTGATGTAGACGTTGTCGAATCGAACGTCCCTCCTGTACTGCCTGAGGTAACCAAACGCTCTGAGGAGGAGGAGGGGGAGTAAGAGGAGGTGGGGGGGGGTCATGATGTTGGCGTGTGACTCAGCAGAAACATGAAGCTCAGATCTTACTGGGGGAAGATGGTGATGAAGGTGAGGGACAGCAGCAGCTGCAGGACGTCCAGCAGACGTCTCACAGTTCTGTTCAGTTTCTGAAAGTTTCCTCTGACAGCCCGAGTGAACTCCTCCTCCAGCACAGCTCCACCCAACACCGCCTGCTGCTGCTGCTCCTGCAGGAGGTCAGAGGTCACAGAAAGATTAAACAGGACTACAACATGCAGAGGCCATCCTGAAGGTGGAGATAGAGGAGGTGAGTCAGTCCTGAAGGTGGAGATAGAGGAGGTGAGTCAGTGCTGAAGGTGGAGTTACAGGAGGTGAGTCAGTCCTGAAGGTGGAGTTAGAGGAGGTGAGTCAGTCCTGAAGGTGGAGATAGAGGAGGTGAGTCAGTCCTGAAGGTGGAGATAGAGGTGAGTCAGTCCTGAAGGTGGAGATAGAGGAGGAGAGTCAGTCCTGAAGGTGGAGATAGAGGAGGTGAGTCAGTCCTGAAGGTGGAGTTAGAGGAGGAGAGTCAGTCCTGAGGGTGGAGTTAGAGGAGGTGATGGTGTTAGAGGAGGTGAGTCAGTCCTGAAGGTGGAGTTAGAGGAGGTGAGTCAGTCCTGAAGGTGGAGATAGAGGAGATGAGTCAGTCCTGAAGGTGGAGTTAGAGGAGGTGAGTCAGTCCTGAAGGTGGGGATAGAGGAGGTGATGGTGTTAGAGGAGGTGAGTCAGTCCTGAGGGTGGAGTTAGAGGAGGTGATGGTGTTAGAGGAGGTGAGTCAGTGTTGAAGGTGGAGTTAGAGGAGGTGAGTCAGTCCTGAAGGTGGAGTTAGAGGAGGTGAGTCAGCCCTGAGGGTGGAGTTAGAGGAGGTGATGGTGTTAGAGGAGGTGAGTCAGTCCTGAAGGTGGAGTTAGAGGAGGTGAGTCAGTCCTGAAGGTGAAGATAAAGGAGGTGAGTCAGTCCTGAAGGTGGAGTTAGAGGAGGTGAGTCAGTCCTGAGGGTGGAGATAGAGGAGGTGATGGTGTCAGAGGAGGTGAGTCAGTCCTGAAGGTGGAGTTAGAGGAGGTGAGTCAGTCCTGAAGGTGGAGTTAGAGGAGGTGAGTCAGTCCTGAGGGTGGAGTTAGAGGAGGTGATGGTGTTAGAGGAGGTGAGTCAGTCCTGAAGGTGGAGTTAGAGGAGGTGAGTCAGTCCTGAAGGTGGAGATAGAGGAGGTGAGTCAGTCCTGAAGGTGGAGTTAGAGGAGGTGAGTCAGTCCTGAGGGTGGAGATAGAGGAGGTGATGGTGTCAGAGGAGGTGAGTCAGTCCTGAAGGTGGAGTTAGAGGAGGTGAGTCAGTCCTGAAGGTGGAGTTAGAGGAGGTGAGTCAGTCCTGAGGGTGGAGTTAGAGGAGGTGATGGTGTTAGAGGAGGTGAGTCAGTCCTGAAGGTGGAGTTAGAGGAGGTGAGTCAGTCCTGAAGGTGGAGATAGAGGAGGTGAGTCAGTCCTGAAGGTGGAGTTAGAGGAGGTGAGTCAGTCCTGAAGGTGGAGATAGAGGAGGTGATGGTGTTAGAGGAGGTGAGTCAGTCCTGAGGGTGGAGTTAGAGGAGGTGATGGTGTTAGAGGAGGTGAGTCAGTGTTGAAGGTGGAGTTAGAGGAGGTGAGTCAGTCCTGAAGGTGGAGTTAGAGGAGGTGAGTCAGTCCTGAGGGTGGAGTTAGAGGAGGTGATGGTGTTAGAGGAGGTGAGTCAGTCCTGAAGGTGGAGTTAGAGGAGGTGAGTCAGTCCTGAAGGTGAAGATAAAGGAGGTGAGTCAGTCCTGAAGGTGGAGTTAGAGGAGGTGAGTCAGTCCTGAGGGTGGAGATAGAGGAGGTGAGTCAGTCCTGAAGGTGGAGTTAGAGGAGGAGAGTCAGTCCTGAGGGTGGAGTTAGAGGAGGTGATGGTGTCAGAAGAGGTGAGTCAGTCCTGAAGGTGGAGTTAGAGGAGGTGAGTCAGTCGGGAAGGTGGAGTTAGAGGAGGTGATGGTGTTAGAGGAGGTGAGTCAGTCCTGAAGGTGGAGTTAGAGGAGGTGAGTCAGTCTTGAAGGTGGAGTTAGAGGAGGTGATGGTGTTAGAGGAGGTGAGTCAGTCCTGAAGGTGGAGATAGAGGAGGTGAGTCAGTCCTGAAGGTGGAGTTAGAGGAGGTGATGGTGTTAGAGGAGGTGAGTCAGTCCTGAGGGTTAGAGGAGGTGACGGTGTTAGAGGAGGTGAAGGTGTTAGAGGAGGTGAAGGTGTTAGAGGAGGTGACAGTGTTAGAGGAGGTGACGGTGTTAGAGGAGGTTAAGGTGTTAGAGGAGGTGATGGTGTTAGAGGAGGTGACAGAGGAGGTGATGTGTTGGAGGAGGTGACAGAGGAGGTGAAGGTGTTAGAGGAGGTGACGGTGTTAGAGGAGGTGACAGAGGAGGTGATGGTGTTAGAGGAGGTGACGGAGGAGGTGATGATGTTAGAGGAGGTGACGGTGTTAGAGGAGGTGAAGGTGTTAGAAGAGGTGACAGAGGAGGTGATGATGTTAGAGGAGGTGACGGTGTTAGAGGAGGTGACGGTGTTAGAGGAGGTGACGGTGTTAGAGGAGGTGACGGAGGAGGTGATGATGTTAGAGGAGGTGACGGTGTTAGAGGAGGTGACGGTGGAGTTAGAGGAGGTGAGTCAGTCCTGAAGGTGGAGTTAGAGGAGGTGAGTCAGTCCTGAGGGTGGAGTTAGAGGAGGTGATGGTGTTAGAGGAGGTGAGTCAGTCCTGAAGGTGGAGTTAGAGGAGGTGAGTCAGTTCTGAAGGTGAAGATAAAGGAGGTGAGTCAGTCCTGAAGGTGGAGTTAGAGGAGGTGAGTCAGTCCTGAGGGTGGAGATAGAGGAGGTGAGTCAGTCCTGAAGGTGGAGTTAGAGGAGGAGAGTCAGTCCTGAGGGTGGAGTTAGAGGAGGTGATGGTGTCAGAAGAGGTGAGTCAGTCCTGAAGGTGGAGTTAGAGGAGGTGAGTCAGTCGGGAAGGTGGAGATAAAGGAGGTGAGTCAGTCCTGAAGGTGGAGATAGAGGAGGTGAGTCAGTCCTGAAGGTGGAGTTAGAGGAGGTGAGTCAGTCCTGAGGGTGGAGATAGAGGAGGTGAGTCAGTCCTGAGGGTGGAGTTAGAGGAGGTGATGGTGTCAGAGGAGGTGAGTCAGTCCTGAAGGTGGAGTTAGAGGAGGTGAGTCAGTCGTGAAGGTGGAGATAAAGGAGGTGAGTCAGTCCTGAAGGTGGAGATAGAGGAGGTGAGTCAGTCCTGAAGGTGGAGATAGAGGAGGTGAGTCAGTCCTGAAGGTGGAGTTAGAGGAGGTGATGGTGTTAGAGGAGGTGAGTCAGTCCTGAAGGTGGAGTTAGAGGAGGTGAGTCAGTCCTGAGGGTTAGAGGAGGTGACGGTGTTAGAGGAGGAGAAGGTGTTAGAGGAGGTGACGGTGTTAGAGGAGGTGACGGTGTTAGAGGAGGTTAAGGTGTTAGAGGAGGTGATGGTGTTAGAGGAGGTGAGTCAGTCTTGAAGGTGGAGTTAGAGGAGGTGATGGTGTTAGAGGAGGTGAGTCAGTCCTGAAGGTGGAGTTAGAGGAGGTGAGTCAGTCCTGAAGGTGGAGTTAGAGGAGGTGATGGTGTTAGAGGAGGTGAGTCAGTCCTGAAGGTGGAGATAGAGGAGGTGAGTCAGTCCTGAAGGTGGAGTTAGAGGAGGTGATGGTGTTAGAGGAGGTGAGTCAGTCCTGAATGGTGTTGGAGGAGGTGACAGAGGAGGTGAAGGTGTTAGAGGAAGTGATGTGTCAGAGGAGGTGAGTCAGTCCTGAAGGTGGAGTTAGAGGAGGTGAGTCAGTCCTGAAGGTGGAGTTAGAGGAGGAGAGTCAGTCCTGAAGGTGGAGTTAGAGGAGGTGAGTCAGTCCTGAAGGTGGAGATAGAGGAGGTGAGTCAGTCCTGAAGGTGGAGTTAGAGGAGGTGAGTCAGTCCTGAAGGTGGAGATAGAGGAGGTGATGGTGTTAGAGGAGGTGAGTCAGTCCTGAGGGTGGAGTTAGAGGAGGTGATGGTGTTAGAGGAGGTGAGTCAGTGTTGAAGGTGGAGTTAGAGGAGGTGAGTCAGTCCTGAAGGTGGAGTTAGAGGAGGTGAGTCAGTCCTGAGGGTGGAGTTAGAGGAGGTGATGGTGTTAGAGGAGGTGAGTCAGTCCTGAAGGTGGAGTTAGAGGAGGTGAGTCAGTCCTGAAGGTGAAGATAAAGGAGGTGAGTCAGTCCTGAAGGTGGAGTTAGAGGAGGTGAGTCAGTCCTGAGGGTGGAGATAGAGGAGGTGAGTCAGTCCTGAAGGTGGAGTTAGAGGAGGAGAGTCAGTCCTGAGGGTGGAGTTAGAGGAGGTGATGGTGTCAGAAGAGGTGAGTCAGTCCTGAAGGTGGAGTTAGAGGAGGTGAGTCAGTCGGGAAGGTGGAGATAAAGGAGGTGAGTCAGTCCTGAAGGTGGAGATAGAGGAGGTGAGTCAGTCCTGAAGGTGGAGTTAGAGGAGGTGAGTCAGTCCTGAGGGTGGAGATAGAGGAGGTGAGTCAGTCCTGAAGGTGGAGTTAGAGGAGGTGAGTCAGTCCTGAGGGTGGAGATAGAGGAGGTGAGTCAGTCCTGAAGGTGGAGTTAGAGGAGGTGATGGTGTCAGAGGAGGTGAGTCAGTCCTGAAGGTGGAGTTAGAGGAGGTGAGTCAGTCCTGAAGGTGGAGATAAAGGAGGTGAGTCAGTCCTGAAGGTGGAGATAGAGGAGGAGAGTCAGTCCTGAAGGTGGAGATAGAGGAGGTGAGTCAGTCCTGAAGGTGGAGTTAGAGGAGGTGATGGTGTTAGAGGAGGTGAGTCAGTCCTGAAGGTGGAGTTAGAGGAGGTGAGTCAGTCCTGAGGGTTAGAGGAGGTGACGGTGTTAGAGGAGAAGGTGTTAGAGGAGGTTAAGGTGTTAGAGGAGGTGATGGTGTTAGAGGAGGTGAGTCAGTCTTGAAGGTGGAGTTAGAGGAGGTGATGGTGTTAGAGGAGGTGAGTCAGTCCTGAAGGTGGAGTTAGAGGAGGTGAGTCAGTCCTGAAGGTGGAGTTAGAGGAGGTGATGGTGTTAGAGGAGGTGAGTCAGTCCTGAGGGTTAGAGGAGGTGACGGTGTTAGAGGAGGTGAAGGTGTTAGAGGAGGTGAAGGTGTTAGAGGAAGTGACAGTGTTAGAGGAGGTGACGGTGTTAGAGGAGGTTAAGGTGTTAGAGGAGGTGATGGTGTTAGAGGAGGTGACAGAGGAGGTGATGGTGTTGGAGGAGGTGACAGAGGAGGTGAAGGTGTTAGAGGAGGTGACGGTGTTAGAGGAGGTGACAGAGGAGGTGATGGTGTTAGAGGAGGTGACGGAGGAGGTGATGATGTTAGAGGAGGTGACGGTGTTAGAGGAGGTGAAGGTGTTAGAAGAGGTGACAGAGGAGGTGATGATGTTAGAGGAGGTGACGGTGTTAGAGGAGGTGACGTGTTAGAGGAGGTGAAGGTGTTAGAAGAGGTGACAGAGGAGGTGACGGTGTTAGAGGAGGTGAAGGTGTTAGAGGAGGTGACAGTGTTAGAGGAGGTGACGGTGTTAGAGGAGGTGACAGAGGAGGTGATGGTGTTAGAGGAGGTGACGGAGGAGGTGATGATGTTAGAGGAGGTGACGGTGTTAGAGGAGGTGACGGTGTTAGAGGAGGTGACGGAGGAGGTGATGATGTTAGAGGAGGTGACGGTGTTAGAGGAGGTGACGGTGTTAGAGGAGGTGATGGAGGAGGTGAAGGTGTTAGAAGAGGTGACAGAGGAGGTGATGGTGTTAGAGGAGGTGATGGTGTTAGAGGAGGTGACGGAGGAGGTTTTGACCTGCAGGTGGAGCTCTGTTCTGAACTCTCTGGACAAAAGGTCGACTGAAGCGTTCAACTGATCAAAGAGCTGACCGAAGTTTCCCTCCACAGGAATCTGTTCTCTACACCACGGAGTCATCACTGAGAGGAGGAGGAGGAGGAGGAGGTGGAGGAGGAGGAGAGAGAGGAGGAGGAAGAGGAAGAGAGAGAGGAGGAGGAGGAGGACAGAGGAGAGAGGAGAGAGGAGAGAGGAGAGAGGGGAGGAGGAGGAGGAGGAGGAGGACAGAGGAGAGAGGAGAGAGGAGAGAGGAGGAGAGAGAGAGGAGGAGAGAGAGGAGGAGGAGAGAAGAGGAGGAGGAGAGAAGAGGAGGAGGAGGAGAGAGAGAGGAGGAAGAGGAAGAGGAGGAGGAGAGAGAGGAGGAGGAAGAGGAGGAAGAGGAAGGGGAGGAAGAGGAGGAAGAGGAGGAGGAAGCGGAAGAGGAGGAGGAAGAAGAGGAAGAGGAGGAGGAAGAGGAGGAAGAGTAGGAGGAGGAGGAAGAGGAAGCGGAAGAGGAGGAGGAGGAGGAAGAAGAGGAGGAGGAGGAGGAGGAAGAGGAGGAGAGGAGAGAGGAGAGAGGAGAGCGGAGAGAGGAGAGAGGAGGAGGAGGAGGAAGAGGAGGAGGAAGAGGAGGAAGAGGAGGAGGAGGAGGAGGAGGAGGAGGAGGAGGAAGAGAGGAGAGAGGAGAGCGGAGAGAGGAGAGAGGAGGAGGAGGAGGAGGAAGAGGAAGAGGAAGAGGAGGAAGAGGAAGAGGAGGATGAAGAGGAGGAGGAAGAGTAGGATGAAGAGGAGGAAGAGGAGAATGAAGAGGAGGAGATTGAAGAGGAATGAAGAGGAGGAGGAAGAGGAAGAGGAAGAGGAGGAAGAGGAAGAGGAGGAGGAGGAGGAAGAGTAGGATGAAGAGGAGGAAGAGGAGGATGAAGAAGAGGAGATTGAAGAGGATGAAGAGGAGGAGGAAGAGGAGGATGAAGAGGAGGAAGAGGAGGATGAAGAGGAGGAGATTGAAGAGGAAGAAGAGGAGGAGGAGGAGGAAGAGAGAGGAGAGAGGAGAGAGGAGGAGGAGGAGGAAGAGGAGGAGGAGGAGGAAGAGGAGGAGGAGGAGGAGGAGTAGGAGAAGGAGAAGGAGAAGGAGGAGGAGGAAGAGAGAGGAGAGAGGAGAGAGGAGAAAGGAGGAGGAGGAGGAAGAGGAGGAGGAGGAGGAAGAGGAGGAGGAGGAGGAGGAGTAGGAGAAGGAGAAGGAGAAGGAGGAGGAGGAAGAGAGAGGAGAGAGGAGAGAGGAGAGAGGAGGAGGAGGAGGAAGAGAGAGTTTTTTTTTTAAGCGAAAAGTCAAAGACCTTTTCTTTTTCATTTGAATGATGTCATACAATATGCATACATAGAGAGTAAAGTAAAATGCAAACTGGATGACTGAATATTCATTTTAAATATAGGTCAAATAATGCACCTATAATCTGAAAGTTAAAACGTGTTTCTGTTCCTGTATTTTCATTTTAAAATTAGAGTTTTCATTTGAATTATGATACAGATTTAGCAAATGTAATTTTCTTCCTCATTTTAATTTAGTCAAAGAATGTGCATTTTTGAAGTTGAAAACTAAAATTCAAATTAGATAAATTAATCATCATTTTATTTTTGAGTCAAATAATACACTCATATTCTAAAACTTAAAAAGCATTTCTGTTAATGCATTTGAATTTTCAAATTAGCTTTATCATTTGAATTTTGATCACTAATCGCTCCCATATCAGCAGATATAAATGGAATGTGTGTAATTTGCTGTTGTAGCATCAGAGCCTGAAAGTTGAGGTGTGTGACCTTTCACCTCTCAAGATGTCACACAGGAAATGGAACTTCATGGACACACAGAGGACGTGGTTAATGACAGGGACTGCGATTGCCTCCATACACTCCGCCCACTTGAGGCTGAACCAATCAGCACACCGCTGCACGCCCTCATCCACCACACCTGCATCACACACACACACACACACACACACACACACACACACACACACACACACACACACACACACAGTGACCTCGTGACCTCGTGACCTTGAGATGAGCCTGGTGTTCAGTTGTCTCACCGTCACACTGCATCATGGTCTTTGAGGTGAACTGCTCCTGTGTGCTGTTGCCGGCGGTGACGGTGTGTTTCCGTTTGAATCGGTCGTATCCGTACTGAAGGACGACTTCGTCTCGGATGTTCTCAAACTTCCTGCCGACGCTCAGAGTCTCCGACTGAAACTCTGCTTCATCGTCCTGCAGAGGAAACAAAAACACGACTTAACGGGTTTATTGGCGTGCTCTGGAACATTCTGGTACGACCCCGATTGTTTTTAAAGAGCTCTATAAGCTCCCATCGATGGCGGTCTCTGTCTGCCCCTGCAGGGGGCGCTGGAGTCCCATCGATGGCGTCCCCCGTCTGTCCCTGCAGGGGGCGCTGGAGTCCCATCGATGGCGGTCTCTGTCTGTTCCTGCAGGGGGCGCTGGAGTCCCATCGATGGCGTCCCCCGTCTGTCCCTGCAGAGGGCGCTGGAGTCCTATCGATGGCGGTCTCTGTCTGTTCCTGCAGGGGGCGCTGGAGTCCCATCGATGGCGTCCCCCGTCTGTCCCTGCAGGGGGCGCTGGAGTCCCATCGATGGCGGTCTCTGTCTGTTCCTGCAGGGGGCGCTGGAGTCCCATCGATGGCGGTCTCTGTCTGTCCCTGCAGGGGGCGCTGGAGTCCCATCGATGGCGTCCCCCGTCTGTCCCTGCAGGGGGCGCTGGAGTCTCATCGATGGCGGTCTCTGTCTGTCCCTGCAGGGGGCGCTGGAGTCCCATCGATGGCGTCCCCCGTCTGTCCCTGCAGGGGGCGCTGGAGTCCCATCGATGGCGGTCTCTGTCTGTCCCTGCAGGGGGCGCTGGAGTCCCATCGATGGCGGTCTCTGTCTGTCCCTGCAGGGGGCGCTGGAGTCCCATCGATGGCGGTCTCTGTCTGTCCCTGCAGGGGGCGCTGGAGTCCCATCGATGGCGGTCTCTGTCTGTCCCTGCAGAGGGCGCTGGAGTCCCATCGATGGCGTCCCCCGTCTGTCCCTGCAGGGGGCGCTGGAGTCCCATCGATGGCGGTCTCCATGCTGGAAATGCTGTCTCAGTCTAACTTTCAGTCAACCTAACGACAGACTGAGAGCTGGAGCTGAGGCGGGTTTTAAACCTCCTGACAAACCGTTACACCGCGCCCACCTGTCAATCAGGTCAGCTACACGCCTTATTGTGAATAACTCTTATCCTTCATCAAATCAAAACTGATGAGTCATCAAAACATTCACCCCCCGTACAGTGTGTGTCCATCCAGACATGAGCTAATCACACCTATTTGGTTTTTTGAACCAGGCTGTAAACATGTTCATCTCTGCTGTAAAAACAGGCTTTTTAGAATGGGTGTGTATGTGACTTCCTGTGCTTCTGCAGCCAGCCTCTAGTGGACACTCCAGGAACTGCAGGATTTTACACTTCAGCATCAGCTTCATGTTTCAAGAGTGGAGGTTGCTGATTGGTCTTCCCGTGGTAAGGAATATATTAAACAAACAAAATTGAAAACGGAGTAAAATAAAATGTATGGAAGTCCTCCTTATGTTTTCAGTAGACCATCTCTTCATGTTTGTCATTTTTTTTGGTCATCAAATAAATTAAAACATTAAAATAAACCTAAGGATGTTGGGTGCTTAAAACTTGGAGTTTAGTTGCAGTGGTATGCTATGTACCTGAGTAGGAAGCATAGCTGCTAAGTGGTTAGCATAGCTTCCTATAGTCTCACCGTGAGCTCCTGTGTGATCAGGATAAACGGTCTGATGGCGTCCCTCCACAGTAACCTGCTGTGATGGACCTGCAGGTCCAGGTTACAGCTCAGAGACAGAGCCGCCGTCTCCACGTTCCGCTGGATGTTAGAAAGTGGACCTAAAATATCAACAGATCTTGATTTTTAATGTGTGTGTGTGTGTGTGTGTGTGTGTGTGTGTGTGTGTGTGTGTGTGTGTGTGTGTGTGTGTGTGTGTGTGTGTGTTCACCCCTGCAGAGCACCGACAAGATTAACACCATCAGGTAACCCCGACCTCGGGAGCCGAGCATGCTGGGAAACATCAGGAGGATCGAACACCTGCAGGAAGACGACAACGCTCCGCCCACTGCACACACACCTGTATAACGGGGGGAGGAAGGGGGGGGGGTTATAGTCAACATGTGTGTTTCAGTCAGAGGTTTTATCATTTTCATAAATATCAGAAGGAATTCAGTTTGTATTTCTCTCACAGATGAAAAGAAATCCTGCTGTTAGCCAGAGGTTAAAGGTCAATGGGAGGCTGTGAGAGACTCCGAGGAACAGAACTGAAAACAGGAAGCAGACGGGATATGAAGGGCGAATATATTCAGTTTAATCCTCACTCATCTGTTAAAGGCGCAGTATGTAACTCTGCCCCCTGGTGTTTAAAATGGGTACTGCAGTCTAAATTCTAAACATCATAGAGAGCTGTCTCCCCCCCTCCTCTCTAGAGTGGACGCTCACTCAGGTCACCATGTGGTGGACTCTGAAGCTTCAGTGTTTATCCAGCTCTGCATGGGTCTGTAAACCTTTCTGTGTTCTAACCTCTCTCCATTTTTCAAAAGCATCTCCAATATTGATCCTAGTTTGAGCACGTTTCTGCTCGTGGAGCTTATTAGAAACATGCAGAGGCTTTTTAGGTCGGGTACAATCACTTCTATCTGAACCACTTCTCTTGCCCGCTTCCATCACTGCAACACCTGTTGACCTGATAACTGCTCTCATATCTGACAAACTGAGGGGCGTCCAAAACGGCCGTGTGGGGGTGTGTCTTAAAAGCGCCTACCTTCTCTGGTCCAAACAAATCCAGAGCATTCAGGAGCAGAATGTAAAGTTAGAAGGAGGACATACTGGCTGCTGCATTGTTGTCAGAGAAGCCAGCACTTCAACATAGCATGTTTCCTTAATGATCAGAGAGTAAGATACCTTTATCATCTCACTCTCTACACAGCTCACTGATTGGACCTTTAAAGAACACATGTTAATTGATTGTTGAATTGATTATTAATACTTTTATTAGATCTTATCTGATCTTTTTTTTTATGTACTTAACATTTATTTTTATATGTGATTACATTTATACATAAGAGGTCTAAAAATATCATGAATGGGAATATAACAATAAATTCAAACAAATGAATATTTTTGTATCATTTTACGAGGTCACTAAATAAAAATAATTATGATTAATAATGATTGAAAATAAGACGAAACATTTTTTAAATGACATTAGATTTAAAAAGCTGAAGACATAACAGAACTATATTTATTTTTCAAAATAAGACAGTTATTAGTCTCTTATTTTTGAGTGGTGGTTACCTGCGCCGCTCACCGCTCCAATCAGCGCCCTGACGACCAGGTGAGCTGACTCTTCTGATTGGCTGCAGAGGAAACGGTGGACGGTCATCCTGATCCTCTGAACAGCTGGAGGACAGAAACACAACAAAGTCCTGTGAGTCAGCTGCTAGCTGCTGTTAGCTCAACGTTAGCTTAGCGTCCCGGACAGAGTGTGAAGTCACCTGTGTGAGGAGCGACAGGTGAGCACAGGTGAGTCATGATCCTCTGAACGAGCTCACAAACCGTCAAACTGTCACTTTTCTACCTGCTCTTGTTTCGTTTGGTCGGTTGGTCAGTTTGAGATTCTGGACGTTCCCGTGACGTCACATTTTTCCGGTTACCATGGAGACCAAACTTTAACTCCAACCGAAAACACACGGAGAGGATGAGGAGTGAACACAGACAGAAACACCTGATGAAGTGTGACGTCAGAGTGCAGGTAGAGAGGGGCGGAGTCACACAGGCCGTCAGAGGAGTCCTGAACAGGTGAGAGAATCTACAGGTGTGAGCTAGCTAACAGGGAGCTAACGGCTAACAGTGTGAGGCATGATGCTGTTTGACTAGAGAGAGAAGCTGAATGTAAACACAAACACACAAACAGGAAGCAGCAACAGCTGTCAGGTCTTTCACTTCTGATCATATAGGAGATGTTCCAGGTCGTCTGGACGTCGTCATGGAGACGATTTGTGGACACGTCTTTAGAGTGAGACTGTTTAAAGTGCCAGACCATCTTGGGCTCCATCAGTCAAATATCCGATGTGTAAATGATTTGTCTTATCTCAGGTCAACAGGACGCTCCGACAGTCACATTAAATGGAAGACGATCAAACCTCACCTGCAGAAAGAGGGGCGGAGCCTGGCGGCGTTTTTCTGCGGGCTGCTGTTGGCGTCTGTGTACGGGCTCACGGCTCTCTTCCTGCAGAAACAGCCGCTGTGGTTCTGCATGTACACCACCATCGCCATGGCCGCCCTCGCAGCCTTCGGTTTGGGTCTGTCAGCCGGCGTCCGAGCCGACGTCACAGTGATGCTGCCTTCTCTCTGCTCAGGTGAGTCTCAGGTGTTCCTGTCCTTCAGAGACCACCTCCTCTTTCAAACTCCAACAGCAACTATGAAATAACCATTTTCTTTAGCACTTCACTAAACCTCCAACAGGGGGCGCCAGAGGGTTTTGGGTCAGGTTATGCACATGTGGGTGTGGCTCAGCTCAGCCAATCACAATCCAACCTCTCCTGCCTTTCAGGTCATGGGCGGAGCTTCCTGCTCTTCCTGTTTGTCTCGGCGCTGCTGTCCGGTCCGCTCACCAACACATTCGAAAACACGGAGCGAGCCGCCGCCAGTCTGCTGTGTGGAGCCGAGCTGGCAGCCAATCAGACGCAGGAACTGATGCAGAGATCAGCCACGCCCCTTTTCTGTAACAAACCAATAAGAAGCCTCCACCATCACGTTGATTAAAAAATAGGATTTTAATGAAGGCTTTCATCTTGACGTGAAAACATGAATATTTTCTGCATATTGTGTGTGTGTGTGTGTGTGTGTGTGTGTGTGTGTGTGTGTGTGTGTGTGTGTGTGTGTGTGTGCGCGCAGCGGCGTTAGACAAAATCAGAGAGATCAGCAGTAACGCTCACGCCGTTGCAGGAAGAGTTCAGAACTTCATCCACACTCTGACCGACAGCGTCCGCCATGTTGGTAAGGGAACAACGACAGAAAGAGAGTAGTTCTCCTGTGATCTTGTAGTTCTCCTGTGATCTTGTAGTTCTCCTGTGATCTTGTAGTTCTCCTGTGATCTTGTAGTTCTCCTGTGATCTTGCAGTTCTCCTGTGATCTTGTAGTTCTCTTGTGATCTTGTAGTTCTCCAGTGATCTTGCAGTTCTCCTGTGATCTTGTAGTTCTCTTGTGATCTTGTCATTCTCCTGTGTTCTTGTAGTACTCTTGTAGTTCTCCTTTGATCTTGTAGTCCTCCTGGGATCTTGTAGTTCTCCTGGGATCTTGTAGTTCTCCTGTGATCTTGTAGTTCTCTTGTGATCTTGTAGTTCTCCTGTGATCTTGTAGTTCTCCTGTGATCTTGTAGTTCTCCTAAACTATAGTTGTCCTGTGATCTTGGAGTTCTCCTGTGATCTTGTAGTTCTTTTGTGATCTTGTAGCTCTCTTGTGATCATGTAGTTCTCCTGTGATCTTGTAGTTCTCCTGTGATCTTGTACTTCTCTTGTGATCTTCTAGTTCTCCTGTGATCTTGTAGTTCTCCTGTGATCTTGTAGTTATCTTGTGATCTTGCAGTTCTCCTGTGATCTTGTAGTTCTCTTGTGATCTTGTAGTTCTCTTGTGATCTTGTAGTTCTCCTGTGATCTTGTAGCTCTCTTGTGATCTTGTGGTTATCTTGTGATCTTGTAGTTCTCTTATAGTTCTCCTTTGATCTTGTAGTTCTCCTGTGATCTTGTAGTTCTCTTATAGTTCTCCTTTGATCTTGTAGTTCTCCTGTGATCTTGTAGTTCTCCTGTGATCTTGTAGTACTCTTGTAGTTCTCCTTTGATCTTGTAGTCCTCCTGGGATCTTGTAGTTCTCCTGGGATCTTGTAGTTCTCCTGTGATCTTGTTGTTATCTTGTGATCTTGCAGTTCTCCTGTGATCTTGTAGTTCTCTTGTGATCTTGTAGTTATCTTGTGATCTTATAGTTCTCTTATAGTTCTCCTTTGATCTTGTAGTTCTCCTGTGATCTTGTAGCTCTCTTACAGTTCTCCTTTGATCCTGTAGTTCTCCTGTGATCTTGTAGTTCTCCTGTGATCTTGTAGTTCTCCGGTGATCTTGTAGTTCTCCTGTGATCTTGTAGTTCTCTTGTGATCTTGTAGTTCTCCTGTGATCTTGTAGTGCTCTTGTAGTTCTCTTGTGATCTTGTAGTCCTCCTGGGATCTTGTAGTTCTCTTGGGATCTTGTAGTTCTCCTGGGATCTTGTAGTTCTCCTGTGATCTTGTAGTTCTCCTATGATCTTGCAGTTCTCCTGTGATCTTGTAGTTCTCCTGTGATCTTGTAGTTCTCCTGTGATCTTGCAGTTCTCCTGTGATCTTGTAGTTCTCTTGTGATCTTGTAGTTCTCTTGTGATCTTGTAGTTCTCCTGGGATCTTGTAGTTCTCCTGTGATCTTGCAGTTCTCCTGTGCTCTTGTAGTTCTCCTGTGATCTTGTAGTTCTCCTGTGATCTTGTCGTTCTCTTGTGATCTTGTAGTTCTCCTGTGATCTTGCAGTTCTCCTGTGATCTTGCAGTTCTCCTGTGATCTTGCAGTTCTCTTGTGATCTTGTAGTTCTCTTGTGATCTTGTCGTTCTCCTGTGTTCTTGTAGTACTCTTGTAGTTCTCCTTTGATCTTGTAGTCCTCCTGGGATCTTGTAGTTCTCCTGGGATCTTGTAGTTCTCCTGGGATCTTGTAGTTCTCCTGTGATCTTGTAGTTCTCCTGTGATCTTGTAGTTCTCTTGTGATCTTGTAGTTCTCCTGTGATCTTGTAGTTCTCTTGTGATCTTGTAGTTCTCCTTTGATCTTGTAGTTCTCCTGTGATCTTGTAGTTCTCCTAAACTATAGTTGTCCTGTGATCTTGTAGTTCTTTTGTGATCTTGTAGCTCTCTTGTGATCATGTAGTTCTCCTGTGATCTTGTAGTTCTCCTGTGATCTTGTACTTCTCTTGTGATCTTCTAGTTCTTTTGTGATCTTGTAGCTCTCTTGTGATCATGTAGTTCTCCTGTGATCTTGTAGTTCTCCTGTGATCTTGTACTTCTCTTGTGATCTTGTAGTTCTCCTGTGATCTTGTAGTTCTCCTGTGATCTTGTAGTTATCTTGTGATCTTGTAGTTCTCCTGTGATCATGTAGTTCTCTTGTGATCTTGTAGTTCTCCTGTGATCATGTAGTTCTCTTGTGATCTTGTAGTTCTCCTGTGATCTTGTAGTTGTCTTGTGATCTTGTAGCTCTCTTGTGATCTTGTAGTTATCGTGTGATCTTGTAGTTCTCTTGTGATCTTGTAGTTATCTTGTGATCTTGTAGTTCTCTTATAGTTCTCCTGTGATCTTGTAGTTGTCCTGTGATCTTGTAGTTCTCTTGTGATCTTGTAGTTCTCTTGTGATCTTGTAGTTATCTTGTGATCTTGTAGTTCTCCTGTGATCTTGTAGTTCTCTTGTGATCTTGTAGTTCTCCAGTGATCTTGCAGTTCTCCTGTGATCTTGTAGTTCTCTTGTGATCTTGTCATTCTCCTGTGTTCTTGTAGTACTCTTGTAGTTCTCCTTTGATCTTGTAGTCCTCCTGGGATCTTGTAGTTCTCCTGGGATCTTGTAGTTCTCCTGTGATCTTGTAGTTCTCTTGTGATCTTGTAGTTCTCCTGTGATCTTGTAGTTCTCCTGTGATCTTGTAGTTCTCCTAAACTATAGTTGTCCTGTGATCTTGGAGTTCTCCTGTGATCTTGTAGTTCTTTTGTGATCTTGTAGCTCTCTTGTGATCATGTAGTTCTCCTGTGATCTTGTAGTTCTCCTGTGATCTTGTACTTCTCTTGTGATCTTCTAGTTCTCCTGTGATCTTGTAGTTCTCCTGTGATCTTGTAGTTATCTTGTGATCTTGCAGTTCTCCTGTGATCTTGTAGTTCTCTTGTGATCTTGTAGTTCTCCTGTGATCTTGTAGCTCTCTTGTGATCTTGTGGTTATCTTGTGGTCTTGTAGTTGTCTTATAGTTCTCCTTTGATCTTGTAGTTCTCCTGTGATCTTGTAGTTCTCCTGTGATCTTGTAGTTCTCCTGTGATCTTGTAGTTCTCTTGTGATCTTGTAGTTCTCCTGTGATCTTGTAGTACTCTTGTAGTTCTCCTTTGATCTTGTAGTCCTCCTGGGATCTTGTAGTTCTCCTGGGATCTTGTAGTTCTCCTGTGATCTTGTTGTTATCTTGTGATCTTGCAGTTCTCCTGTGATCTTGTAGTTCTCTTGTGATCTTGTAGTTATCTTGTGATCTTGTAGTTCTCTTATAGTTCTCCTTTGATCTTGTAGTTCTCCTGTGATCTTGTAGCTCTCTTACAGTTCTCCTTTGATCCTGTAGTTCTCCTGTGATCTTGTAGTTCTCCTGGGATCTTG